AGAAAGACTTAAAAAAAAAAAAAAAGTAACAGCATGAAAAAATAAGTACTATTAATGAGATATTAAGAACAGTGAATATTATTGCTAGGCGACTTAGGTCAGTAGCTTGTTTCAGTAGTCTTTTATGATAAATCCTGAAATCATTAATATAAAAGTTACTGTAAACCATCTCTTACAGAATAGATGATTTCCCTCATTACCTTATATTTGATTAGAACTAAACAAACAGCGTTAACATGGACATGAGTACAACGATAAGACACGCACTTGTTATGCCATGTGGTACTAGGATGCATTTAGAGACAGTAAATAACTGATGAACTTAGTCTCCTGAGGCTTTTATTCTTGATCTATCAAGTATACTGGTTAAAAAAAACAAACAAACAAACAAAAAACAAAAACAACAAAATCCCTAGCAGAAAAACCGAACATGAATCTGATGAAACCTAAAGTAAAACTGATAAGAGAATGCCTAAACAAAATCAGATAAAGAGAAAAAAATGAAAAAAAAAACAAAACAAAACCAAACAACCAAAACCAAAGACCTCTTCGATTTCTGACGGTGCTTTTCCCTCCCCTCTCGTTATTCCAGCTCACCTCCACAGCCCACGCAGACTCCCGCAGGTGTGGGTGGCGGTGGCCCCGGCGGCGCGGTCCCCGCTCCGCGGCGCCCGCCCGGGTTTATAGCGGCGGCACCGCCCGCCCGCCGCTCGGGCTGCGCATCAAGGTCGGGCAGAGCCGCCCAGGATAAGGGACCTGCTGCGGGATGCAGGCTGGCTCCTGCCCTCTGTCGCCCTTCAGATAAGGGATGCAGGCTGGCTCCTGCCCTCTGTCGCCCTTCAGAAGCCACCCGAGGGTGTCCGAGCCTGCAAAGCGCGCAGGGAGAGCCCATCAGCCCCTCACCAGAACACCGCTTCTGTCCTGACTCTCACAGAATAGTTAATATTAGAAGGGGACCACTGGATGTCATCTGGCCCATCTGGCTCCAGTGGAGTCATGCAGAGCACATAACATAGGATTGATTAACATATTTTGAGTATTCCCAGGGAAGGAGGACTCCACAGCCTCTCTGGGAAACCTGTTAGAGTGCTTGGTCACCTGCACAATGTAGAAGTTCTTCCACATGGAAGTTCAGGTGGAATTTTGTGTTCCAGTTTCTGCTTGTTGCCCTTTACCCTATTGCCTGGCATCACTGAGAAGAGATGCTCTGTCCTCTTGCCACCAGATACTTTCAGGCACTGATGAGATCCCTCTCGGGCCAAACAGGACCAGCTCCCCCAGCCTTTCCTTATCCATGAGGTGCCCCAGCATCCTCATCATCCTCATAGCCTTACACTGGACCTGCACCAGAAGCTCCATGTCTCTCCTGCTGAGAAGCCCAGAACTGGACACAGAGTCTCACCATTACTAAAACTAGATGAATTTAAATCTAGAAAACTCAGCTGCTAAGCAGAGATGCAGGGGTATTTAGAGAGTTGTTTGTCCAGAGAAACATTCAGATTTGGGAAAGTTATCTGCAAGGTCCTGTCACATTTGGGAAATTGCATCACTGCATTTAGAGAATTTAAAATAAGACTGAAGATATGCTGTTAAATTTAAACTAAGAATTGTTATTAAGTAAAGACTTTTCTGTTCCACTTATAAATTACATAACAACTGAAGCCAGCTAGATTCAAAATTGTTTTTAGAGAA